AGTCCCTCAGGGAGGCACTGCCAGAGCTCATCCATACCAAGAGTTGTCCCGGGGTCCGGGGACCTGAATGTAACCCTCAGTTGGATGGGGAGGCTTCACTGCACCCCAGATCTGTGTCCTGCCCAGAGTGGAGCACAGGTCATTGTTGAATGAAAAGAACGAATGCGTGAGTGAATGAATGGGTAAGCAGAGAGGAGGGCTGGGCCAGGGCAGGGGGAGCACAGAGGCGGCAGCGGCTGGCTCTGGAGGTGAGCCGGCTGGGGAGGTTTTGCAGAGAAGGTGATCTCTGAATTGGCACTCAACGGATGCATAGGAGCTCACCGTCTATCAGGCGGGAGGAAGGATGGGCATCTTGGCTGCTATGGAAGCTGGGACTCCGGGAGAGCCAGGCCACCCAGACAGGACAGTAAGAGTGGGGATCTGAAGCCAGAGCTTCCTAGAAACGCTTTGCCCACAGTCCAGCTCAGCCTGAGGGCCCTCTGCGGCCCGGCCCGGAGGAGCCCCAGCGCTGGGTTCTGGCTGACAGTCCAGCGATGCCTGTAGCGAGGGGCAGTGGGTGAGCAGGAGAAACCCCGTTTGCCCCTGCACAGGCCCCCTTCCTCCTCCTGGGCCCCTGCCTCCCACTCACTCGGGAACTGCTGGGTGCCCACGCAGAGGGGCTGCCAGGTGCCCACGGGGGCCCTTTGTCTCAAGGAGCCTGGAGCAGATGCCCAATGAGGACAAGATTTGGATCAGAGTCAGACCGGCCCCTCGCTGCCCCCTCTGTCCTATGTGACCTTGGATGGGTCACGTCTCTGGAAAAGGACTGTCCTGGAACGTCCTGGGAGCTGGTGTGCAAAGTGCAGAGCCCAGGGCTGCCCAGGTGGGCACCCCTGCATGTGGGCTCCCTTCTGGGCAGAATAGGGTTTAATGACAGGCATGTCTGTGAGGAGCAGAGCAGAGGTGGGCAGGGAGAGGAGGAAGGAGATGGGGGGTGGGAGCAGCCCCCCTGCTGGCCCGTCCCTGTGTGATGAAGGAGACGTGGAGGGTGGCATGGGACTGGGACGTCAGGAGCCTCTCGTGGCTCCTGAGGGCGTCCAGGGCAGAAAGACGATGTTTCATTTGCCTAAACTTGTCACAAAGCGTTCGGAGAGCCTCACTGTGCTTCAGGAGCTGTCCCTGGAAACTCGAGCTGCTGTTTTATTGGCTGCTTTCCTGCTCCCTGGACCCCGTGGGCATGGAGGCAGGGGACACACCTGGCCCCGTTTCTCCTTTCCAAGTCACGTGTGTCCCATGGCTTCAGGCCCAGGGGCCCCTGCGCTGCCCTAATCCAGCCCCCGCCTGCTGTACAGAGGAGGAAACTGAGGCCCTGTGGGGTCCTGGGGCTTCTGCCATCCAGCCCTTCCATGGGCCAGGACCCGTGTCTGCTGCCCCCCAGACTGTGCTCTGCTCTGCCCCAGCCCTGCCCTGTGCTGGCCTCTGGGGACAGGGGCCTGAGGCAGCACACTCCTGCCCCGGGAAGGCCTGGGAGTGACCTCTGCTCCGGCCAGGATGTGAGTTGGAGTCCCGGTGGATACAAAGAGGTGGAGGCAGCCCTGAGGTGGGATCAGAGGGTCAGAAGGGTGGTTCCCAGCAGACTTGTGGTGGGGAGGTGCGGGGGCTGGGGAGGGGCGGTGGGGGTACCTAGGTGATGGCTATGGTGGGATAGAGACAGTCCTTGGGTCCCGTGACTCTTCTCAGGCTGGCCTGGCTGGCTTCTAGGATGCCTTCTGGACCATGGCCACATGCAACATGGAGCAGGGAGATGGATGGGTCCCAGGATACTGCCCCACTGGCCTTTGCTCTGGACACTGCCATGGGTCTCACTGCTCGGCCTGGGAGTATCTGCCTGAGCAAAGGGCCTCGGTGGGCAGGGGGTCAGGCATGCAGATGCGGCCACCAATTTTTTTTTTTTTTGGTGAGGAAGATTCGCCCTGAGCTAACATCCATGCCAATCTTCCTCTATTTTTTTTAGTATGTGGACCACCAGCACAGCATGTCTGCTAACAAAGCGGTGTAGGTCCGTGCCTTGGAACCAAACACGGGCCACCAAGGCAGACCACGCCGAACTTAACCACTAGTCCACCAGGGCTGGCCCATGGCCACCAACTTTTATTGATTCTTACTGACTCTCAGTGAAGCACTTCCCCCATCATCTCATAATCGCCATATGAGGCAGGTCTATGATTATCATCCCTTGTTCAGACATGGGCACAGAGAGGTCTGTGGCTTGCCTGAGGCCACACAGCGCTGTCCCTTACTAGCAGAGCTGGGGCTGGGCATGGGGAAGACCAGTGCTATCTAATAGAAATAGAATGTGAGCCACATATGAGAGCCAGATATGGAGTCTTAACTTTTCTTGAAGACATACTAAAAAGATAAAAAGAAATCGATGAAATCAATGTTAATATTTTTATGTAATGCAATATATCCAGCTATAATCATTTCCACATGAAATCAATATAGAAAGGATTCAGGGGCCGGCCCTGTGGCTTGGTGGTTAAGTGCGCGCGCTGCGATGCTGGTGGCCCGGGTTCGGATCCCGGGTGCGCATCGAGGCACCACTTCTCTGTCCATCCTGAGGCCGAGTCCCACATA